TAAGAGAAACAGCCAAGACCGTATTTCAGAACTGAGCCTTTCTTTTCCTTTAAGCCTTAATTTTAGTCTGCACGGGTTAAAGGGCAGGGTAGAATTGTTTCTCCCTGCTAGGACCTCTCCCAATAAGTAACTTCAAGCCTCCTCTGTACCCTGTGAACCTGGGAGAAGTGAAATGTACAGTTCTCTTGACCACCGCGTGAGGACCATCACATAGACTCTTTTTAAGCATCATTTATTGGTAAGAAAGTTCATATTTCTTTAAGAAAATGAGTCTTCCAAGGACATGCGCTGATTGTCTCAACACTGCCTTCGGTGGTCACATGTTTATCAAGCTGATCAGTGTAATCCTTTCCTGAAGAAATGGTCAAAGCTAGCTATTGTGACCTCACCATTCCCGCTGCCAGCCTGAAAGAGCGTCCTTGGGGAATGGAGCTAGTGCTCTCTGCCCTAGCGGGTGCACGTCTATCCCAGCCCTCTGGAGCTTTCTCTCTCTCTACCGTGATGAAATCCACAGGGTTTAACAGTCAACTCATCAACAATGAGTGTGCAGCGGGTCGCGGAGGGGGAGGGGGAGAGAGACAAAGACAGAGGAGGAGGCCACACAGAACGTGAGACAGAATGAAATCAGTGGAGCTGCCGACCAAGGTGTTAAAATAGTTCTACATGGAAGAAGGGAGGATGGGGGAAAGAGTTTTCCCAGAGGAGGTTTTTGAGGGAAAGTACAGCCTCAGGCAGGCTGTGGAGCCTATCAGCAGTATTGTTGCAGACACAGAGATAATTGGAAGGGGAGGGGGGCTTAGAACCATCTTACTAAATCAGAATACTGTAATCTTCCTCAGCTTATGTCATTAAAGACAGCACTTTAAACTAAGAATCTTAAGGGAATTGCGTGGATAGTGAAGTCCTCGGAAATAATCATCATAATAATGGTCACGATAACGAGATCATTGTTTGTGAAACTGCAAACGGCGGCGACAGCTTTGTAGCTGAGGACCAGCTCACCCATTTTGCAGATGAGCTCACTGGAGTGCAGAGGTCCTTGTCTCACTAGCGGTAAAGCAGTGCTGGGCTTCTACTGCACCTGACGGCTTCCATAAGATCGCTGCCACTGATGTATGTCCCCTGCAGCGCCAACATGTCCTGTATCTCAGAGGAGGGTAGACAGTGCTTGGAGGTGTGATGTGCTCTCAGGTAGTGCTCAAAGCTGGGGTGTTGGGGGGTTGCACAGCCCACACCGTTCTGCAAACTTTCTCAGTAAAAGTAAAGCCAGTTGCGAGTGACGGGGCATGAGAGAGACACATAAGGACTGTGTTTAGAGCCTTCTATCTTCGAAACCCCAGTCACGACCTGGTTAAGAAGCACGGGGGGGCTGGGGGGGGGGTCTGTTGTGCCTCAGCTGTCATCTGTCTAGCCACACACCAGCTCAGCTTCGCTCCGGAGCTTACCAGCAATCTGGTTCCAATCAGATATGTTCTGCCTGAGTAGAATAAATCACTTAGGTGATATGCTAAAAAAAAAAAAAAAAAAAAAAAAAAAGGAACAGTCTGCATGCTTGGAAAGCTTAGGAGGATTTAAATTATGTGCTGTCACTTCAGAGAGGCTCCTCCACACCACCACCTCCGAATCGCCTGTGGGAGGGAGCTGCGGAGCCTTGCGTGCAAGCTCTGCCATAACCCAAGGCTTAACATAAACTTCAGGCTCTCAGGTCATTGGGAAAGAACAGGTATATCCGGTTAGGTCTTTTGTGCTTGTCTGCACGCAAATTGAAAAGCGCAAGCGCGTGCAAAGCTAAACTCCTCGGAGCCTCTGGTTCCGGAGAAGGGAGGATGCCTTGGAATGGAATTTGCTCACGATTCCCCCCCACTTTTTTTTTTTTTTTTCATGGAGTGAGGGCGATAGAGCTTGTTTACGGGACATTCTTGCGCCTCTGAGAGGCTGAGGTCAGAAAGGGTGGGATGTGAAAGTGGGCCTGGTGCCAGATAGCCTGCTGGGTAGGAGGGCTGCAGAGAACCAGGGGTCAGGGCTTCGAAGGGGCATGGTTTTATGGGGGAGGAGGTAGGGGTGCGGAACTTCAGCGGGTGCCGACACTGCCAAGTTGTCTTGGTCCTGAATGGAATTCACAGATGGAGGTGGGTTGGGAAGGGTGTGAAAGGACTCGCGAACCTTGGGGGACCATGCCCTGAAGGCCGTGGTTGCCTCAGCTCCCCACTTCTTTACCTCCCTTAAGTATGTCCTGTTCCTAGAGCCGTTCATTTCAGAGCCCTCCAGGAGGATGTCTACATTAGGAGCAGGGTCCGCTCTGTCTTCATGCTCTCTCTCCAACGGGAAGCAGGAACACTGCTCTAACAGCGACAACAGCCTTCTGTCTCAACAGGAGACCTGTGCATTTGGCTCTCCCGTAGTGACATTTCCACTGTCGTCGATTTTCCCACTTAGTATGGTTGAGCAGCAGGAGAGTTCTTGGAACCTGGTAGAGGTGAAGCCAAATTCCAGGTCAGCCACAACAGAGACTTGTGATTTTGATGGATAACTTCACATTTTCCTGCCTTGCTCTGTTTCTCTATAAAAGGGGGATTAGGATAATAGCTATCTCCAGCAGTTGATTGTGAGGGATTAAAGTAAAAGATTTATATCAAGCGCTTGGCACACCACCGGCCTCAAAGTGCTCAGACTATAGTAGTGCTTAATATATTATTAGTAATATATTATTATTGTCACCCTTAGTATTATTGGCATAACTGCCATCCAAGATGCCACTGCAGTTTAGGTTTTGGCTCGACGCCTGCTGGCCCCAATCTGAGAGTACCCCTCCTTCTCCTGAGCTAAGTTTCCCCAGCCCACTTGACTCAGGTATCTCTGGACTCAGAGCTACTTGGGTTTGTGGACTAGGTCTCTATTTTCTTCCTCGCCCTTCCTGGGCTTTTAGGCCATCAATCAGAAGGATGGTTGCCATGGGAAGGTGTCATCTTTCTGGCCAGACCCCTGCTGGGACTCCTCTTGAGGTGCTGCCTGAATGTACCCACACTTGTCTTAGGGGCTTGCCTCAGAACGTCAGTATTTGGGGCATCACTTCTTTGAGAGCCACCATTGTGTAACATGAGGGGGCCGGCTTGTTGGGGTTTCCATCCCACCCGGTACCCCACAACCGGCAAATCCCAAAGAGAAATCACACACAGGACTCCATAAGGTTACAAACTGATTGGTCCATTAGGTCATGCTACTTATTAGTTCTTATGACATATATTACCCCATTATCCTTATCTATGTTAGCCACATGGGCTCGGTACCTTTCTCAGTGTGACAGCTTACATGTTGCCTCTTTGGTGGTCTGCGCAGGAGTGGCAGAGGAACCTCTCTGCTTCCCAGAATTCTCCTGTTCTCATTGCATCACCTCTACTTCCTATCTGGTTTTCCTGCCTATACTGCCTGCCTGGCCAATCAGTGTTTTATTAAAATATGATTGACAGAATACAGACAATTCTCCCGCATCATTTCCCTCTTTTTTTTTTTAAACAAAGGAAAATACCCATAGTCCATTTGTTGGGAATGTGGGCGTAGTATTTCAGGCTACTTCCTGCTGGTTGGGGGCGCTGATGATCTTATGGGGACCTAAAGAAAATTTAGAGTTATAATCAAGTCCTGACTGGAGTATCCTGTGAGTCTTGATCAATTCAGGCAGCAGTCTTGAATCTGTTCTGGATGTAGAACTCAGACATCTGGGCCATCTATTCCTGTCGGAGATTTTTCAGGTGGCCTCCCTTGGTCAAAGGTGATTTTTCTTAACTCAGAATGAATCCACAGCCTCTCATTTTCTGTGGAAACAAAAGCAAAATCTCTTCTCCAAAGTATCATACCTTTTGACTTCAGTTTTGAAGCCAAGGTATTTCCAAAATACCTATCTTGGATTAATTCTGCAGCATTTATAAACAAAAGTCTTTTAGCAGCTGTTGCTCCTTCCTCAGCATTCAAACAATTCAAAGAGAGCATAATAACACACAGTATCAAGATTCTCTGTATATTTTCCATCTTTATGCAGCTTTATTTCAACCTCTATTTCTTTTAATTTTACTTTTAACTTTTGGCTTTTCGAGACAGGTTCTCTGTATATATCTTTGTCCTGGAATAACTCTGTAGACCAGGCTGTCCTTGAACTCACAGAGATCCCTCTGTCTCTGCCTCCCCAGTGCTGGGATTAAAGGTGTATGCTACCACACCTTAAATTTACAGAGATCTATCTGTCTCTGCCTCCCAGGCATTGGGATTAAAGGCATGTGCTACCACACCTTGAAGTCACAGAGGTCAATCTCTACCTCTGTCTCTTGAAGTCACAGAGGTCAATATGCCTCTGCCTCCCAGGCATTGGGATTAAAGGTGTGTACCACCACACCCTATTTCTCCCTTTTTTTCTTTTTTACTTCTATGAACTTTAACCTTTACCCTGCATATATTTTTAACACACTGTAAACCATTTAGAGGTTTTCTTCGTCTCTGAATCTCTCTTTACTGTATATCTTTCTTTTTATGATCACATGAGTCTTTAAGGAGAGGACTAAAATTGTGGCTTTTACGGTTGGAATTAGCCCATTCCTTGGCTTTCCAGCCTCATGGCTGAGGTACTGACTGTAGCCATTTTTATTGCCACAACTCTATGGCATTTCAAGGTCCCTACCAGCAAGCAAGCTGCAACATTCCGCTCACAGACCACACTCAGTCGGACTGCCTGCCTCAAAGAGTCAGAGTTTGCCCTGGCAGGACAGCCCAGAAAGCTGGCATTTTAAAAAAGCGCAGCTTTTTTCCTGCTACGGCTGAAAACACGAAAAGCATGCATTCAGCTTTTCATCAACACCATTTAAGTGTTTCATTGCAGGACCTCTTAATGAGCTACAAAGTTTTGCAACTAAAGCTGAGTCAGGAAGCCTCGCTTAGATGAGAGCATTTGCTTGCCTGTAGCAAGCAGAGCATACCTGAGAAATTGCTGCTACCAAGAAAACATGCTTTACTCTATCTTTTCCAAACTTTCACAGGCTTTCTGTGGATTCTGTTATCCACGTGGGCACCATATGTAGCAATTCTCCCGCATCACCATTGTGCCTGGCAACTTTTTACATCACAAGAAAATCAGAATGTTTGAGGTGGGGGTCCCCAAAGGGTGGTCCAGGAGCCCCATGTCTCTGAGGCCCTCTTTTTGAGGGACCCATCGGATTGAAACTATGATCATATCTTTTGCCTATCTCACTCTCACCCCGAGGTCCCCAGGGATCTCCGTGATATTTGCCATCATTAGCAATTGGATGCAGAAACAGGAGAATCCAGCTGTTTTCTGTTAAATTGGAAATTAAAGAGATTTGTAAAAACACAAAGCAATGTTCTTCTGACTAAATATTTTGGTTTTGGAAAATATAATTATTTCCTTAAAAGATTTGTATTACCATGCATTATCTTTATTGTTTTTAATGGACTAATGTATAAATATTTTTAAATTTTTAAGCCTTCATTTCTAAAACTGTAAATATTGATAGTTATAACTCAAGATAAACAATAGTTCCTTGGACTCTAGTAATTTTTCAGAATATGAAGAGGTTGTGAAAGAAAAATGTTAGAGAAATATTGAGCTAAGCTTTTGGCACCATGACCCATGAAGTCATGGTTTTGCTCATCTCCTCCCGAATAAACCTGTCACCTCTGGGGACTGAAGAGTGTGAATTTTATGAGGATTTCAATGTAATGGGTTTGAGTGTAGCAGATCTAGCTACGAAGCCTTCATTTTAGGTTCACACCAACGTTTTCATCTTTTAGCCACTGTTTTAAAGGAAGCTTTGTAATGCTCACTCAAGATTTGCCTGGAAATTAGACATTAAGTTGTACCAGCAAAAGACTAAGGATAACCCAGGCCGGGAGAGGAGGGGAGAACTTGATTCACGTTTGCCACTGGAACAAAGATGGTTGCCTTTTGGGATCTTAGGCTCCTATAGGAAGTCACCTTGTCTGGCCGTGGAGGGAACTTGTATTGCCCAGATCCTTAACAGACTTATAATAGTATGAGAGATGCCTATACGTGGTGTGAGGTTGGAAAGGAGAGGCTTGCCAAGTCTTGGTGATGAACAGTAAGTCAATGGCTGCTTGCTTACTGGTGTAGTAATGGTGGCCTTTGGAGTCTGCTCACCTGAGTTCAAGTCTCATCCCTGTATGATGTGGCTGTGGACTGTACCTTGGAAGTTCACCCTCTCAAAGCTTGACCCCAAGGGTGGTGGTGTTAGTGTGGTGAAACCTTTGAGGGGTGGGGCTTAGGGAAAGATAATTTGGTCGTAGTAGCTCTATTTTCATGGACAGGGTAATGGCACCCTGAAGAAGTGAACCAAGTACCACAAGAGTGAATTTGCAGATCAAAGTTGCCCCCAGCTAGTCCTTCTGAATGTAGCTTTTCTGCTACATGCTGCTCTCCCATGTTGTGATAAAGTTAGAGGACCTTTGCCAGGGTACTTCACTGTGCTATTGGGATCCTCCAGTCTCCCTAATGTAAGTCAAATAAACCTCTTTATGTTTCTCTACTTTGTGTATTTTGTGACAGCCACACAAAGTGGACTGATAGCCACCTTCCTTGGCAACCCACATGACTCTTGACAAAAAAAAAACCTTTATGTATGAAATAGGCAAACATATCAATCTCTTGAGAGTGCTTCGGAGAAAGATGAAGCAAGATTTAAACACATGGATTGTCTTATGATTATGGTTATGACATAAGAGGAACAACTTCATACTTGGGCCTAGTGGCCTGTATGTAGAACTCAATATGTTGGTGTGTGCATTCCTTATTAAATGATATGTGCAATTTGATTTCGTCCTCTTTAATCTTCTGAAGGAAACCCAGGCTAGTACTCATATAGCTGGGCATTAAAAGAGTACGGACTTAGATCCTCTGCTAGTGGATACATGCCTGTGGTAGCTCATACCCTAGAGAGTCCACCAGGATGTGACTGGACCTCAGAGGACTCCAGGCACAGGCACAGCCCGTCTGCATGAGGTGTCCCTGAAACAGGAGAGTGAGAATCGAAGGACATGACTGCTGGCTGGGTGCCCCAGCCAGCCCCGAGCAGGTCACAGTGCCAGGCTGTCAAAGCTTGGATGCTAAACCCATCCCTCTTCCTGCACTTAAATTCTTAAAACGGATGGCCCATTGGAGACTGACTCAGCACAAGGGGAAAAAGAAAATTGGAGGTTAGTCAGTGCCAAAGTACAGACTGTTGCTTGTAACTTTTCCAGTTTGGACTGGGAAGGCTTCTGACCACTTTCCTTCCTGGCATTCAGGAGGGAGAACTGAAGATCTCCATGCCCTGTTTTCTGTTGCGAGCGCCTGTGGCAGGATCATGGTATGGCTGTCATATGGGTCATACGTCCCATGTCTGAAGTCTTGTGCATTTCTTCCCAGGGCTGGAAGAGAAGCAAGCAGATGAACCTTCTAGAAAGAAGTACAGGACTGCTCCTTGGTGTCTATTCCCAGGAGGGCCCCACAGCACACCCTTGAATTTTCACCCAGTCTGGCTCCCTCATCTTTGCTGCCAGGGACTGTTGAAGACTACCCTGGATGCTTCTTTCACCTCTAGGTTGCAAAACACATCAAAGTCAACAGAGAGCCAGGACAAGAGCCTCAGAAGGAGGGAGCCAGCACGGTCCCTCCAGGGGCTTTTGGGAGCGGAGCACAGCAGCTCCCACAGAGGCAAGCCTGGGTGGGGTAAGATGGGGTAAGACAGGGTGAGGAAGAAGTGCCGCAGAGCCACCAGCTGGAGTTGGTGGAAATCACAGGTTGGCCCCTGCTGCTGAGCCTATCTGCCAAGAGTAGACGGCTGGGCGGCTGGGCGGCTGGGCGGCTGGGCGGCTGGGCGGCTGGGCGGCTGGGCGAGAGCCTTTTAAAGGCAGCAGCAAATGGCCTCCCACAGAACAGTAACTGACTGCTGTCTGAGTGACTGCCCGGAACAGACACCAGTCTAGAAGCTTGGCATGAGCTTGCTGGTTCGTCCTCACACAGCTCTGGGAACCAGGTCCTGCTGTCATTGCCATTTTACTGACATCTAAACTGGGCCTAGAGAAACGACTTAAAGCAGGGAAGCCACTCAGCTCTACCCGAAGAGCAGCGTTCAGACCCTGGGAGTCTGGCTGGCACTCAGTGCATTACCTAAGAAAGATACGCAGAAACTCAGGGTTCTGAGTCTGGGCTGGCAGGAGCTGGCAGGTGGGCGAGGGGTTACTGTCCTCGTAGCTGCCACACAGAGCTGACACTTATTCCTGTGACAGAGAATGGAGCACTCCTTCAAGACCGTGGTCTGCAGCTCAAAAATAAAGACTTCGGAAGAGTAGGCATAATACTGATACCACTACCGCCACTGGTTGATTTTTATTGAGAGTTCATTTTGTCATGAACTATACTAATTGATTTCCTCATTTACTCCTCATGACCACTTATTGTGGTTGGGATATTATTTTTTTTTTAAACATTAACCTTAACCCTAAACTGGGGAAACTCAGGCTCAGGAGTGCTTAACAGACCTAAAGTCACTATTTATATAAAGAACCCAGCCTTAGACCCACAAGTGCCAACCTCCTGATGAGTGGTGTGCTGGATGCATGGCTTCTAGGGTCCTGTAAAGCATTAGAAGATTTTGAAAGGCATCTGGGCCTGAGCCTGGGGTGGGGGCGGGCATGTGAAGAACTGTAATTATTTTAGAGTGGGTCTGTGCCGGGTGCTGCTGTTTCTCTCCCCAGACTTCAGGAAGCCTCCCTTTGGGATGAGGAGATCTGGAATCCCCCCCTTCTATTGTTTCACCATCTTGAACCTGGGGCTTTCCTCATTTGTCAGGAGGGAAAGATCTCCTGAACCCAAGCACACAACTCCTTTGAAACAAGAACGAGTTTGGAAGACAGATGATATTTGTAACTTTGTGTCCCGCATTTGCAAAGCTAAGTTAAAGTAACAGGGCTCTGGAAGGGGAGCAGTGAGTGCTCTGGCCACATGCTGCCTGGGACAGCTCAAGAGTTATGGGCATGCACCTAGCAGGCCTTTGCAAGAGGTGATGGGGTGAAGTCATTCTATATGTCTGGGTAAGCCTCAACATTTACAGATACCGACAGAAGCAGAAAGAAAAGCGAACTCACTGGAGTCAATAGTATCGGAGTCAAGGACAGCACAAATGTTCACCTAAGTCATTACTTAGGGTTAAATCATGTCAGGACTGTTCTCCAGGGTCGTCTAAAGGCAGCAGCTCTACATCTTCCTTTGAGGTCAACACTGCTCAGCTGGAAAAGGTCACCAAATAGTAATAATCTGAATGAGATCTATTCATACCAGATATATGCACATAAGTAGAAGGTCCAGGGTCTCTACACCTGGGGTCTGGGAAGCAGTGAGAGCGATGCATCTTTCCAGTTGTTCTGTGTCATCTATTGGCTGGCTCTTGCAGCAAGAATCTACTTATGGACTGTGCAGGCATGCTTTAAGAATGTGTTTCTGGGGCTGGGGTGACGCTTCCATCCAGCTGGATCTCCAGGTCCCTGTGAGCCAATGCCCTCTTCTGACACACATGCATGTATGCATAAATAGAAAGCTTTACTGTTTTATCTCATCAAAATGGAAAATAATAAAACGTGTATAATATTGCGATTATAGGATATTGTTAAGTGCAGAGCACAGTACAAACCACGACCCTAAGATCATTGCCTTGAAAAAAATCAAGAGAAGGCCACAGTCACCTGGCCGTAGACAGGCTCTTCAAATGCTTTTACTGTCCTGAGCTAGTCTCCGTTTTTCAGGGTTGAAAAAAAGCATAAATATGGTTTTTCTAAACAGATGTAATGACAAGTTTCCTTCTAAATATTTATCTTAATAACCATGGCTCCATGCACTCTCTCGGCCCTCACCAGGGATGCTCCATTTTGCAGGAGATAGTAAATGCTACAGACTGTCATAACTGGTAAGGGGCAGAGAATAGGTGCCTATGGAGAGTTCAGCCCTAAGTGCCTCTATCACACCAGCTCCCTCCAAGACTCAGGGAGCACCAGAGAAGGGGTAGGGAGAGTGTAAGAACTAGGTTACTTACTAGCTTACTAGGAAGGCTGCTGCAAAACAACGTGTTCTTGGATAGAGCAGGGGCTGTTGGACTTTTGTTGAAATCATGGAAGCTGTGGTTTGCCTGTACAAGACCCATACAAGATGAAGCCAATTAACATTGCAGCACAGAGGTGGCTGGGTCTCTCTCTCTCTCTCTCTCTCTCTCTCTCTCTCTCTCTCTCTAAACTTGCATTGATTGTGGATTTCACATCATGCATTCTGATTCCACTCATCTCCCCATCCCCTCTCATCAGCCCTCTGCCCTTGCAACACCCCCAAACAAAAAGAAATTTAAAATGAAAACCAAAAAAAAAATAAAAGCAAAGAAACAAAACACAAAGAAAAACTAAACAGAGAGAGGAAGAGAAGGAGAGGGAGGGAGGGAGGGAGGGAGGGAGGGAGGGAGGGAGAGAGAGAGAGAGAGAGAGAGAGAGAGAGAGAGAGAGAGAGAGAAATCTTGCCCTGGAAGCTTCGTCACAGCTTACCATTTAGTCCGTTCATCTCTTCTTGGAAGTGTTCATTGCCACAAGCCATTGGTCTGTCTAGAAGCCTCTGGCTTCTGGCTTCAGACACACCAACAATGGGCTCTCACTGGGGTTCCTCTTGGATATCCTGTTGTCCTGTGTCATGGAGATCCTGCTGTTTTAAATCTGTAGGCTTGTCCCCTTCATGTGCTCCAACACTCATAGACTCGGTGGATGTTGGGGTGGACCAACTCACAGCCCTGATTCTGGGCTAGGTCAGTCTGCCAGCTTTCCCTCATTGTCACTAACGGTGGGGCAAGTTCTCCATCGCTGCCAGGCTCTGGGGTCACAAGAGTGGAAGAGCTAGCCCTGAGCCTCACTAGCTGTAGCCCACAAGACAGTGGGCTCTGTGCCCTTCTGAACATCTGGACTGCACACTAGAACTGACCCTGCTGCTGGGGACATGGGTGAGCCAGCCCTGGGGGTGTGTGAGCAACAGAGCTGACCTCCGGCCTTGGGCACGGATGAGGGGATGTTGCCCTCCCCTTTTGCCCTTGCTTTCTGGGGCAGGCGAAAGGACTGGTTGGAAAGTTCTCACAAGAGTGAGAGAATTAGCCCTGCCTGTCACCAGCTGCAGCCCCCAGGAGAGCGTTCTTGCAACCCACCTGGGCCGAAGGGTAGAGCTGGCCGTGGTGCTGTGAGCATGGGTGACCTGGGTCTGAGAGCGGGACAACTGGCCCAGCTCCTTGCTTCAGGCTGCGCTGGGTGAGGTAGGGGATGCAGTGAGTGGGGACTCTTGATGTCCAAGCCAAACTGAGCAGCTATTGGTAGACTATGGCCACTTTAGGATGAGCAACCAGTATTCTTCAGGAGAGTGGCCCTTACTACGCTGCCCATGCTCCTGTGGATGGCTCCATAATCAGGCACAACCAGGCAGCACTAATTGGCCTCAGTGGGTTATTCAGAGAAAGGGAGAGGGAGGGAGGGAGGGAGAGAGGGAGGGGGAGAGAGGGAGAGAAGGAGAGAGAAAGTTGGGAAGGGAATGTGAAGGATTTCAGACCGAGTTGGAGGAATGGAATTGGGGGTTGTAGATGATAGAAATACATTGTAACCGTGTATGAATTTCTCAAAGAACAAATAAAAAATAGTACATGCTTAAAAAAAACAAACAGAGCAAAACAAAACCAAAACCCCCAAGAGTATCAACATGACCTCCAGGGCCGGAAAATTATCCCCAAGCTGTAAGATGTGTCTGGGAAGAATAAATGTAAAGTTTATATTGAGAAAAATAAAACATTAGTTGAAAAGTGGGCATTTCAAGGCTGCGCCAGCTCTCAGGTGCATTCTCACAAGGTGAGGGTGCTTCTCGATTGCAACCTCAGCCAAGTGTAACTATTCTAACTGGAGGCACTTAGAAAGGACAAGACAGCAGACCTGGGATATGTTCAGCTCCAGGCATTTGCTTCAACAGGAATATTAAAAACTTACATTGTCCAGGAGGCCCAGACACTGGACACAGTGCTAGAAACCAGGTTATTCAAATGATGACTAAGGTGTCAGGACATTGTTTACGTGACGGGAGGATGGTTCAGAGGCAACACGGTGGCTCTCCTCAGGCATGCCACTTAAAAGGTATGTTTGTTCAGATGGATGTCAAAGAGTAGCTCAAGGTTTATTATACTATAACAAGGTTCATTCTGGAACTTTCTTGCTTCTGAAAAGAGCCGCTTAGTATCCAAAACTTTCTCACTAAAGAAATGGAAAGGCTGTAGCGTCTTTAATAGCAGAAGGGGTGAATTCCATTGAGGTCAAGGCCAAAAATCGCTAACATGTCATTATCCAGCTCTTATGTTCTCTCTGGGATTATGAAGGAAAAACAGCCACTTAGGTTATTTAACTACCAATTATTTTTTTTCAAACCTTGGGCATGAGTACAACTTTTTTTTTTTTCAAGCCTGAATTTTTATCTCATTATGGTAAAAGAAGGAAACTTGGGAGTAAAAAAGACAGATACAATACCAAAATTAAGAGGGTAAAGGAACAAAAACAAAAGCCTAGCCCTGCAGCCTGGATCTGCTGTTAGCTTTCCCGGAGCCAAGTCTACATTCTGTCTTTTTTTTTTTTTAATGGGAACTTTGTTGAAATATATATTTTCTTAGTAACCTAAGAAACCTAGTAAGTTAATTAGTAACCTAGTAAGCACGTAGCTTTAGAAAAGGAAAGTGAAAGACAACATCCTCCGTTTGTCTACAGAGTTTCATGTGAGGTCAAAGGATCAGGGGGAACAGGGCCTTTATCCCCCTGCTCTTGTCTGAAAGGCACATTTCAGAACTGGACCAGGCTGTGGCAGAACCCCAGAGGATAGACGCACAAAATCAACCATAGACCGTGGCGTCCTTTCCCTTCCCGTGGCCTCATTGCTGCGCCCAGTTGTTCTAGTGCGGTGGCTGGAACACTAGATAAAATGATCGCAAAGTTTAACGTTCAGGCCGACTAGTTTGCATTCTGCTCCCTTTCTTCTTTCTTAATTGTTCTTTCCCCCACTCCTCCTCTTATTTTCTTTGTTCCCACTTTTCTGCCCCCATCCCGGTCTGCTCTTTACTCTTCCATGAGAAAGAAAAGGGTTCAAGGAAAGTAGAAAGTATGTGGGCATGGGTTTATATGGGGTGGGCAGAGAGGTCAGGATGTATGTAGCTCAGTGATAGGACACTTGTATGGCATGTATAAGGCTCTGGCTTCCACCCTTCAAAGGGAGGGGGAAAGGAAGAAAGAAGAGAAGGGGAAAGGAGAGAAGGGAGGGAGGGAAGAAGGAAGGAAGGAAGGAATCTAAGAAGGAAGGAAAGGAAGGGAGGAGGGGAGGAAAGGAAGGGAGGGGGGAAGGAGAAAGGGAGGGCGAAAGGGAGCTAGAGTTACAGATAGATAGAACTGCAAGGTAGGGAAGATTGGAGAAAAGTTTGCCTTGGAGGAAAGGAGACATGGGAGCTGGAAATGGACCCAGAGAAAGGGAAAATGAGAACACAAGAAGAACAAAGGGGAAGAAAAAAAGGCCCTAAAGGAAGGCAGCCAAGAAAAAAGGAGGAAGCAAAGCGGTTGGGGAGGCTGTTGCTGGTACAGGATCTCTGCACCAGCTGCTGTGTCTATGGCTTGGAACCTTGAATGGGAGATGTGAGAAGAATTCTGAGAACAAAATCAGGATCTGTGCATGGATGGAAAGATGGGGTGGACTGTGGTGGCTCCTTATCTTCCTGGTGCTTTTCCCATCTTTCTTTTTCTGATTATAAAACAAGTTCTTAACTATAGTGTGAAACCCAAATACCAGCCTGGCCTTTCAGAGTCCTTCTAGGACCTTGGAAGAGATGGTTTCCTTCTCTCAGGGTTAATGGAAGGCTGCCTGTGGCCAGCTTCCCCAGCATGTGAAGGAATTAGAAGAATGAAAATCAGCGGAAGTAGAGGCAAGGAAGAACCACTTTGCCTGGGTCGTTCCATGCTGTGAGCGGTCTTACCTAACCCTCTGAGCTGGTGCGTTTTTGCCCTGTGTAAACTTCAGCTGGGTCTTGGAGTCAATACACTATAGAGCGTTTTAAAACCCCTACTTTAAACCATTCTCTAACTTAACTGCTCTTTCTGAAAGTTGGTTGCAGGAGAGAAAAAAACAGAAAGAAAGAAAAATTCAAGTTTGAGATTTCAGAGGGCAAAATCCTTTACCCTTTCTGTTTTGATGACAGAGAGGGGATTCCTAAGGTAGGATCCACAGGTTGGCTGAGAAATTCTGATGGTTATTCCAAAGCCCAACACAGATGATTGGCTAAGAGAGAACAGAACCCCAATTTGAGATGGATCAGGAATATATATCAGTGCTTTGGATCTATCTATCTATCTATCTATCTATCTATCTATCTATCTACCTATCTATATTTATGCTAAAGTTTTAATTGAGGACTAAGTAGTCAGCCCCTTCAGTGACATTTGTACTAAAAAAAACCAAAACCCTGGAAGAGCCTGAGACCTAATGATGGTGCTCTATGGCCAGTCACATTGGTGTCTACGCCTACTTTGATAAGAGCCTATCTCCCCGACAGCATTGGTCCAACTGGTTCCTCTACATTCTGAGACCCCGTCTAGAACAGGAGCTGTGCCCAAGGACAACATTTTGCTGGGGCAGGCAGGCATGCACACGATGATCTAAAAGCTACACAGCATTTGTTAAGCAGGAGTGTTTAGCCTTGCTTTATATTTTAAAATAGCAGTTGACTTGGCTTGAAGGCAGCGTCCACCTTCTCTAATTCTGGCAGAGATGCTATGAGATGTGCTGGGAATGTGTGCCAGCCGGTTGCAGATTCCTATCTCCAAACCTAGTGCGGCGGGAGAGTCCCAGGTCACTAGTCAGGGTCTTGCAAAACTGAATATCAAAAGGTTGCACAAACTCCTTTGGAAGAGCTTATTGTGGTTTGCACGTGTCTCCAAAGAGTGCATGTGTTGCCTTAATTTCTCAATGTAGCGCTGGTGCCTAGGGGAACTTCTAGACACTGGGAACAAAGAACATGCTGGGTTATGGCCTCTTCTGGGTATGCTCTGCTCTAAGGGACTGTGGCCATGGCTGCCCCCTGCCTTCTCCTTCTTCTCAGGCGCTGGGATAATGCTCTTGGAGGGCGTTCCTGCCAACTGAACTGTGATCCCAAATAAACCTCATTTCCTCTGTAAATGGACCAGTCTCGAGCCCTTTGTTACAACAAGAGGAAAACAAACTAAGACAGACAAGCTGGAGTCGTGCAGCTCTGAGAAACCGAGGTTTATTATTAAACTAATGCCCTTGCCCCCCAGGCCAACTTCATCTCTGATCTGAGTACTCGACCGTGGTGTATATAAAATCTCATTCAGAAAACAGCAGAAGTTACCGAAAACACTTATAAAAAGGCATTTTTTTTTAGCAGGCCATGCATTTCATTCAAAGATGTTAGACACTTTTTCATAAACTTAACCTTTGTTAAGTTTCTTTATAATGTACTCAGTTATCCCAGCTTCAGCTGTGAGGCACCTTCCACTGGCCTCCCTCTTAAATGCCAGTTTAAGTGTAGTGAGCATACCTTTTTCTTGTGAGTCTTTCAATCCTCGGTCATGAACAAAGAGCATCAAATTCTTCCATCTGATTAAAAAGGTATTGCATGTACTATGTGTGTGCTTGTGTGTTCTGGCACAGGTGGGGAGGTCAGAGGATCACTTGTTTACGTTGGTTCCCTCCTTGTACCTTGTGGGTGCCAGGCATCTAGTTCAGGTGGTCAGTCAGGCTTGTTGGTCAGCGCGCCCAGGTGTTGAGCCTCTGGCTAGCTCTTGGCTGATTAAAAAAAACTATCTATATTTATATATTATATAAATTATATATGATATATATTATTTATTTTTAGCAAGAAAGACAGCTTTGGGCCTCTTAAGTGTTGCTTTTACTCCGTATAAACCTGTATGAGGAATTTGGGGTGGGACTTTGGGAGTTCAAATCCTGTCTCCGCCTCTAGAGACCTGTGTGACTTAAGTCCCATAATCTCTCTGAATCTGTTTTTTGTAAAAGAGACAATAACACAACATTGGGAGTGGGTTGTCCGGGGGATCACACCAATAGCCCGGAGCTACAATTCCTGCTTGATTAACGAGAAGCAATCTATCTCTTCTACGGCTCGCCCTTTCCAGAGCCTGGCAGAAACCTTGTTCTCACAGGTGTTTTGAAAGTACGATTCTATGCTTTAACCCGTAGGAACAGGAGCAACTCCTTCCAGGACCTTGCGTCACACTTGGGAAGCGTCCCCATGATCCACAGCCCCGCGTTTGGGAACCAGGCTGCGGGAACGAGGGTCGAGAAGCCAGCTGAGCATCCTTCGGGCAGGCCCTGCGGGCGCAGCTGTGCGTGCGTCGCCAAGGGTGGTGGCGGCAGGCACCCCGCCCTTGGCCGCCGCCTCGGCGTGTCAGGTGGCGTGAGAAGCGCGGGAGGGGCGGCCGCGAGCAGCGCCCAGGGAGATGACTGGAGCCCTACTTCCCAGAAGCGGCGCACGCAAGGCACAGCTCCGCACGCAAGGGGGAGGTGACAGCAGAAACTTTTCAACCCGAACGTTCGCAGGCTTGCAGAGCTGCCTCCTCCTCCCACTCACCGCCCCCTCTTAGGTCTCTCTCGCACTCCAGAACTGCCCCAAGCTTGGATCGGAGCCTGAGTGAGACCAGAGCAGTCTCGCGCGTCCAGCAGGTGGCGTGGCCCTTACCTTTACAAAGCGGGAAGCCTCCAGGCCTGCCCTGCTTTGTGTGCTGCAGAATGGTCTGCGCCTGAGGCAGTAGGATAGCCGCATTCAGGGTTTCCTGATCTCGCCAGCAGAGGTGGAAAGATGTGTGCACACAAAGGGCCACATTGTAGGGCCAAATGGTTTGCAAAACCTTAAGATAAAAATAAATGCAAGACAAACCGTCTCAAACCAAGCTACCCCGGTACCTAAAAAATGGCAAGTTTCCTTTTCTGGCTTGGTGCCTAAGGATCATGAGCAAGGCACCAAGCTCGAGTCACCTGGAGGAGGAGGGCGTGCTCTCTGCTCAAGCGCGCAGAGGCGTGGGAAATTCTGTCTCAAGCTGGGTTCTGGGGAAATCGTGGGGTCTTGACCGGGGGATAACTGATGACAAGCCGTTATCGCCACGGGAAAACTTTTCAAGGAGGTTTCCAACAAGACTGCCAGCTACTTTTTCAGAACGGTCCGAGCACGCGGAGCCGACTTCCCATTGGACCATCCTTGGGTCACCCTGAGCGTGGACATGAGACCTGAGAGTCCGAGTCCAAGTCCCGGACTTTCACGGCGCGCCCCGCCCCTCACGCCCCACCCCTCAGGGTCCCGTTTCCTCTCTATCCAGCCCTTAAAACCCGGGGTAGAGGGATGGCGCGTGTCACCTCTGGGGTGCGTTGCAGATACCTCTGCGACGCCAGCTTGAAAGTCTCCCTCAGTCTAGGATTGACTCCAGTTTACCAACTCCTAACCCCCGCCCATCTCAACCGCAGCTCCAACTCCGTGAGAAAGCCCCGACTTTGCAGAACCCCAGGTGCAGTGGAGCTCGGCAAATTTGAGACACTTTTTCCTTCCTTTCCTCCAACCCAATCCAAGTTAAGGTTCTGACTGAGCCAAGAGTGGGTGCTAAAGCAGCGGGCATCAGGTGTCTAGGGCGGGCCTCCAGGTCCCTGGGGACTCTCAGGTTGAAGTCTTGCCGTGGGCAGAGGCTTCAGGCTTCTCCCAGAGCCGGTTGCTCTGCACCGCTGGAAAACCACGCTTCGTCGCAGGTCAGTCTGTCCGCGGAACCACCTTCCTGGGGCCTCTTTAGACCAGTTCTTGAAAGTCAGGGGTCCGGGGTGTTAGGCACTTTAAAAGAAACCTGCCTCTGGGTCTGCCACTGGCGTTTTGTCGGAATTCCGGGGACCGTTAGGCAGCTGGGGACTCAGAAGCTGGCATGTTTCTGCTGGAGGCTGGGTTGGGTATGGAAGGGTAGTCTTAAGCATCTTGTTCAGAATGCCATCCTTGACCGAGGTAGGCACCGCCTCCTCTCTATTCAATAGTCCCATGCTGGGACCCACTCTTTTTTTTTTCCTCTCTCTGCACATCTGAGTGTCACATTTTGCCTTTGTGTCCCCAGCATGGCCACCAGCCTTAGCGCAGACAGCCCGCAGCAGCCGAGCCCGCTGTCTACCCAGCAGACCACACTTCTGCTACTCCTCTCGGTCCTGGCCACCGTGCACTTGGTACAGTGGCTGCTGGGACAGTGGCGGCGGAAACCGTGGTCCTCGCCTCCGGGTCCTTTCCCATGGCCACTGATCGGAAACGCGGCGTCTGTGGGTCGGGCGTCGCACCTGTACTTCGCTCGCCTTGCGAGGCGCTATGGTGACGTTTTCCAGATCCGTCTGGGCAGCTGTCCCGTGGTGGTGCTGAATGGCGAGAATGCCATCCACGAAGCCCTGGTGCAGCAGAGCAGCATCTTCGCCGACCGGCCACCCTTCGCCTCTTTCAGCGTGGTGTCTGGCGGCCGCAGCCTGGCATTCGGCCCCTACTGCGAGCGCTGGAAGGCACAGCGACGCGCGGCCTATGGCACGATGCGCGCCTTCTCCACGCGCCACCCGCGCAGCCGCCGCCTCCTTGAGGGCCACGCGCTGTGCGAGGCGCGAGAGTTGGTCGCGGTGCTGGTGCGACGCTGCTCAGGCGGTGCGGTTCTGGATCCGACGCAACCGATCATTGTGGCCGTGGCCAATGTCATGAGCGCCGTGTGCTTCGGCTGCCGTTACAACCACGACGATGCCGAGTTCCTGGAGCTGCTCAGCCATAACGAAGAGTTCGGGCGCACGGTGGGCGCGGGCAGCCTGGTGGACGTGCTGCCTTGGCTGCAGCTCTTCCCTAACCCGGTGCGCACCACCTTCCGCGAGTTCGAACAGCTCAACCGCAACTTCACCAACTTTGTCCTGGACAAGTTCTTCAGGCACCGCGAAAGCCTGGTACCCGGAGCTGCTCCCCGTGACATGATGGACGCCTTCATCCTCTCCGCAGAAAAGAAGGAGGCAGGGGGATCTGGCCACGGTACCTTGGGGCTGGACTTGGAGAACGTGCCGGCCACTATTACGGACATCTTCGGAGCCAGCCAGGACACCCTCTCCACCGCGCTGCTCTGGTTGCTCATCCTTTTTACCAGGTAAAGCCTCCAGGAGGGATGGGTCAGTCCTTGCGCTTTTCTGCTTTGAAAAAGGGCGTGTGGCTAAAAGGTCACTAGCTGGGCGCGGGGTTTGAGGTTTCACCCTGCCCCACCCCCCATTCCTTAAAACTGAGATCTCAGGGAAGATAAGCTCCTACCAACGGGGCCGACTGCGATGCCTTCCCCACCTAGCGTTGCCAGCATCTTTGGCGTTTTCTCTGTCCGTTCCCCCCCCCCCCCCCTTGTGACTGGGAACAAATTTATGAAGAGCCCTTTCCCACAAAAACAAGATCTTTATGTCATTTGCGGCAGATCAATCTTGATTCTTCTGTGGCTCAACAAAAACAGAATTGGACCAGTTAAGGAGGCGCAGTAAAATGTTAACTAAACACGGCGGCTCATAGTTGGCATTTCCGAGGCTGTCTAGCCTCGGTCTTAACATCCAGCTACCGGGCAGGGTTTTGTTACTAGGTAAAGGGAGCCAGCGGAGGCAGGTCCTCAGAGGACAACCTGAGAATAAGGTTTACCCGAAGTCGGACGCAAAGAAAATCGGAGCAGGCACTTCTGTGACTGCGACAGCATCTGGAGAGGAGTCTCAGGCACCGGGGCCATCCTAATCTGTGGGCCAGGGCACAGACCTCTACAACCCTGAAAGGTTGCCTGCAACGATTAAGAAGCCTCCCCCGTCCCCCTCTCCCCGGCTGTCAGGTGGTCTAAGCAAATGAATCCTTCGTGAGAATTTGAAGATCACCTATTGTTTACCTGAAATTCTGATTTAGCCTGTATTTTATCTGGAAATCCTACTGCGTTTCTTAACACTTAAGGAATACTGAATATGCGCGCCCCTCCGAGTTTAGCAGGCAGAGTCCGTTTCCTGTTGGGATTTACACAATTCGTATTTCTTTAGATGTTCTGCATCACATTTTTAGTATATTTAAAGTAACTATTTAGTAGTAAAGTCAAATTGTGAAAACATATATTGGAAATATTGCGACCTGGGGGCAAGGGAGGCCGAAACAGAATAAAGGGAATTCAACCCAAGATCAGGAAAAAGGCCTTCTTGGAGTTGGGTCGCCAGGTCTTTCACATTCCAAAATGAGTGTGTACCCTTTTTTTGGAGGGGGGGGGGAATCTGTATTGAACTGTATAAGCAGCTTTTCATGTGTTCCAAAGAAATAAAATAATTTTGGGGTCGTTGCCAATTAAATAAAGATGACATTATTTTTTCTTTTTTGTGAAGAGGCGATATAACCAGAGTGGGCAAGTTACAATGCCTTTTTAAAGTGTGAATTTCACTGGTGCAGCCGGCTGATCCACTGCTATTAGTGTCTGCGTTCACACTACAGGGTGGACTAGTAGCTGTTGGTGGGAGGGTTTGGTCCATGCGGTCAAAATGCTTACCATTTGGCCCTTCACGGGCAGCTTTGGGAAGCTCTGATTTTAGCATCTCTCGGTAAACACCACGTAAACGCTTGTTTTCAGTCGCAGCAGCTGTTCTCCTCCACCCCCACTCCTTCCCAGCCTTCCATTTAAACTTCCTCGGCCGTTAGCATTGATTTTAGTATGGTTTTTTTCTTTCGAAAAGATTTTTTAAACTTTTATTTATTTTTATATATATGAAGGTTTTGCCTGAGCATATGTCTGAATATCCAGTGCATGCCTGTTGCCTGAAGAGGCCAGGAGGGCGGATCCCTTGGGACTGGAGTTACAGACTCCAGTTAGTTGTCACGTGGGTGCTGGACATTATCTCAGGAAGTCTGCAAGATCAGCTGGTGCCCTTAACAACCAAGGCATCTCTCCAGCCTGGATTTTAATGATTTTAAAGGCTACATAACATCTTGTACTAATATTGTAAATATGTAAAACCAGTTTTGAGCTTTAGCATTAATTGTTGGTTTTGACTGCATTTTAAGTTTTAAGTATTGTTATGATTATATATCATTATACCAATAAGTTATTTTCTGAAAAGAGTCTCCTAGGAATAAATAATTGGGTTTAAAAATGAAGGACCAAGGAATTATTGCCTTATATCGAGTTTACTGTGCACTAAGATTCTGTCTTCCAAAAGAGCTGTTCCAGTATCTATCAGCAATAGTGCAGAAGTAAAATGTGTACCCCCATCTGACAAACTGGGGCCCTGCTCTTTAAACTGAGGAAGTACGTCACTTTATCTATCAGGAAACCAATAATTCTTCATAACACAGGAATGATGGGGAGGGGGAGGAAGGATGGGGACAGAGAAAAATATGTAGCTTAATAAAAACAATAAAAAATAAAGTGAAAGAGAATTTATTAAAATTAAAAAAGAAACAGCTACCTGTGAAATTTTCAATTTAATTTATATGCCTTAGTGCCTTTAACTATTAAATAAACTGCACATGTTTCCATGGGGAAAAAAAGGACAATGAATTGCCTAAAGATATGAGGGAAGGAAAAGAGTCTGCTTTCAGGGCAGCATTTTAACTTTTGTGGGCCTGGGGTCCTTTCGCCTGTGTAGACTTCTCTATAAACACATTGAAAAAATACCTTAAGACTACATTGGTATAAAATGCATATGTGAAAAGTGTGTTATGTGGACTTCTACTCATAAGTCCATTTGTTTAGGGCTAAAGGCTTTACAAGAGAGACAAATGTTTTCCCGGTTTCTAAAATGTATTGTGGGCCTAGGCACTGTGCCCAGGACATAAGTAGGTCTGACCACTATCGTGCATTTTTAGACTGTAAAAAACTTAAGAGTTTTGTTTTCTCACAATGGGGAATAAATCCTAGGCCATAAGAGGCTTATTACAGAAAAAAAATAAGATTGTTGTTGTTTAACTTGCAATATTAAGTGAGCGAAATTAGCCTGTTTTTTTTTTAATTTCTTTCAGAAATTGTAATTCAGTCAGAGACCTAGATAGTTTGTGGAATTAGAGTAGAATTGCGGTGTGCTGTTAGGTGAAAGGTAAGCTGAACTAATTTTGTTTTCTCTCTCTCTCTCTCTCTCTCTCTCTCTCTCTCTCTCTCTCTCTCT